AAGGGGGTTCATTCCAGAATGTAAATACCTTTCCTCTTTTTCCTTATTGGATGGCACACTGGCCGGGGAGGCGTCCCTCCTCTTCAAACTCTTATTGCCCATTAACACCTCTCTGATATACAGATACTCCTCTGGTATCTTACCTGTCAGGCTGAGTTGAAGTCCTTCCTTAGGTCGGCCGACTTTCCCTTAGGTTTTCACTGGGTCCTGGCTTTCCGTCTCAGGATCTCCAATTCCTCCTTGTTTGAGCAGGGGCAATCCGACCTTTAGGGCTGGGAAAAACTTACCCAGGTGCACACTCCCCTTTCGAATATCCCCGGCTGCCAAAGATGGAACGGATGCAAATCCCGGACGAGCCCCCAAGTCTGTTATGTGCTCCTGGCTACTTTCCTTCGTGACCAGAGGCAAACTCACCTGACCAATAACCAGCCAAGACACAGTGAAGGCCTTTTGTTTCGTTTATTGCAATAAGCAGGGAGAGAAGCTATCAAAGCTTGGTTCTCTCCAAAGTTTTAACCCAAAATATCTCCTTCTTTTATTCATCCCTATCACTGGCCGCTACAGCCCTCCTCTTTCCCCATTGGCTGAGGTAGTATGAGGTTACACTCTTTCCGTCCACTTATACACATTTCCTGATAACATACTAAATCATATTCACATATACAATAAGAATAAGAAAAATTAGACATGTAAATGGTTATTTTAAACTCAGTATATATTTATGTCCCCATTTTAAACAATAAGTTCTTTTCCTGCTTTTCAATTCAGTGTGCCTCTCTTCTTAGCTTATTTGGCATAGTTTTCTCCATTCAACCTATCCTTCCTGGCTAGCCATTTCCTATAAAAAAACTATTTATCTATTTTATGACTTCCCTCTTCCTTTCTCAGACCCAGCTATTTTTGCCTATATGGTTTATCTTACTTCCTTAATGTTATCTCTTTCTGACTCTCACCATCTGTATTTTTCTTATTCAATTAGTTTCCATTGTATTGTAGGTTTAACTGTCTCTGAAGATTTATCATATTGATGTATATTTATCACATCTTTCTCTGAACGTAACATTTTTCTCTTTGAAATGTGGGGCATTGTAATTGTCCATGATTGATCTCTAGTGTGCCTACTGCTTAAGAATTAAAAACTACCTAGGGGTCAAGTAGCAAAGTCTTTAATTTGTAGCCTGGAAGGTTTTCTCTACCCAGTACTGAATGGGCTTAGGGGGTAGGTTCACATTCATGAAATCATGCTCATTAATATGCACACAATAATAGATAATACTTCCCTGCAAACGTGCTCCCCTTTCTGCTCTCTTAACTGCCCTCAGTTCCAGAAAATAGTTGCTAGGCGTTTGGAACAAAGAAACCCCGGTTCTCCTCTCTTAAGACTCGGTCCTTGAGATTTAGCCTGTTTTTCATGTCTGAAGCCGAAAATATAGATAGTTCCTTTCATTCTAAATTTGACATAAAAGTGGTTCCCCGCCTGATTTGCAGGAGAGAAACTGCGTAGTTAAAGGTAGTCGCATGAGAAAGGCTCTCAAGAAGCTGGCAGACTCGGAGCGAAGTGTCAGAAAGGTCGAGTGGGGGAGTTCGGTTCGGCTCCTGGTTGTTCTTTCAAGGGCCGCATTGGCTGCAGCAAGGCGCGAACTTTTTTCTTGACCTTCCTTGTGCTCCCTTCCTAAAGCGAATGCCCGAGAGGCGTGTGATGGACGTGGCACTTTCCAGCGGTTGTTGTTGTTGTTAATTGCGAAGTCGTGTCCGACCCATCGCAACCCCATAGACAACGTTCCTCCAGGTCTTCCTGTCCTCTACCATCTTCTGGAGTCCATTTAAGTTCTCACCTACTGCTTCAGTGACTCCATCCAGCCATCTCATTCTCTGTCGTCCCCTTCTTCTATTGCCCTCAATCTTTCCCAGCATTAGGCCCTTTTCCAGTGAGTCCGTCCTTCTCATTAGGTGGCCAAAGTATTTGAGTTTCAACTTCAGGATCGGGCCTTCTAAAGAGCAGTCGGGGTTGATCTCTTCTAGGACTGACCGGTTTGAACGCCTTGCAGTCCAAGGGACTCGCAGGAGTCTTCTCCAGCACCATAGTTCAAAGGCCTCAATTCTTTTGAGCTCAGCCTTTCTTATGGTCCAACTTTCACAGCCATACATTGCAACTGGGGAAACCATGGCCTGGACTATACGCACTTTTGTTGGCAGGGTGATGTCTCTGCTTTTTAGGATGCTGTCTAGATTTGACATAGCTTTCCTCCCCAGGAGCAAGCGTCTTTTAATTTCTTGGTTGCAGTCCCCATCTGAGGTGATCTTGGAGCCCAGAAAAATAAAATCTGTCACTAACTCCATTTCTTCCCCATCTATTTGCCAGGAATTGAGAGGGCCGGATGCCATGATTTTGGTTTTCTTAATGTTGAGTTTCAAGCCAACTTTTGCACTCTCCTTCTTCACCTGCATCAAGAGGCTCTTTAGTTCCTCTTCACTTTCTGCCATTAGAGTGGTATCATTTGCATATCTTAGGTTGTTGATATTTCTCCGGCAATCTTAATTCCAACTTTTGTTTCATCTAGCCCTGCCTTTCTCATGATGTGCTCTGCATATAAGATAAATAGGCAGGGCGACAGTATACAGCCTTGCTGGACTCCTTTTCCAATTTTGAACCAATCAGTGGTTCCGTGTCCAGTTCTCACTGTTGCTTCTTGACCCGCATATAGGTTTCTCAAGAGACAAATGAGATGGTTTGGTACTCCCATCTCTTTAAGAACTTGCCACAATTTGTTGTGATCCACACAATCAAAGGCTTTAGCATAGTCAATGAAGCAGAAGTAGATGTTTTCTGGAACTCCCTAGCTTTCTCCATGATCCAGCGTATGTTGACAATTTGATCTCTAGTTCCTCTGCCTCTTCGAAATCCTGCCTGTACTTCTGGTAGTTCTCGATCCACATACTGCTGGAGTCTAGCTTGTAGGATTTTAAGCATAACTTTACTAGCATGTGAAATGAGTGCAATGGTGCGATAGTTTGAACATTCTTTGGCATTGCCTTTCTTTGGAATTGGAATGTAAACTGACCTTTTCCAATCCTGTGGCCACTGTTGAGTTTTCCAAATTTGCTGGCAAATTGAGTGTAGCACTTTTACTGCATCGTCTTTTAAGATTTTGAATAGCTCAGCTGGAATACTGTCACCTCCACTAGCTTTGCTGTTGCTCAGATTTTCTAAGGCCCATTTCACTTCACATTCTAGGATGTCTGGTTCGAGGTCAGTGACCCTCTCATTGTGGCTATCTGGGACATTAAGCTCATTCTTGTATAGTTCTTCTGTGTAGTTTTGCCATCTCTTCTTAATCTCTTCTCCCTCTGTTAGGTCCCTGCCATTTTGGTCCTTTATCATGCCCATCTTTGCATGAAACGTTCCCTTCATATCTTCAATTTTCTTGAAGAGATCTCTGGTCCTCCCTATTCTGTTGTTTTCTTCTATTTCTTTGCACTGTTCATTTAAGAAGGCATTCTTATCTCTTCTAGCTATTCTCTGGAATTCTGCATTCAATTGGGTGTATCTTTCTCTTTCTCCTTTGCCTTTCGCTTCCCTTCTTTCCTCAGCTATTTGCAAAGCTTCCTCAGACAGCCATTTTGCTTTCTTGCATTTCTTTTTCTTTGGGATGGTTTTAGTTGCTACCTCTTGTACAATGTTGCGAACTTCCATCCATAGTTCTTCAGGCACTCTGTCTATCAGATCTAATTCCTTAAATCTATTTGTCACCTCTACTGTATATTCATTAGGAATATGATTTAGTTCATACCTGAGTGGCCTAGTGCTTTTCCCTACTTTTTTCAATTTAAGCCTAAATTTTGCAACGAGAAGCTCATGATCTGAGCCACAGTCAGCTCCTGGTCTTGTTTTTACTGACTGTATAGAGCTTCTCCATCTTTGGCTGCAGAGCACATAGTCAATCTGATTTCTATGTTGACCGTCTGGTGATGTCCATGTGTAGAGCCGTCTCTTGGGTTGTTGGAAAAGAGTGTTTGTTATGACCATCGTATTCTCTTGACAAAATTCTATTAGCCTGTGCCCTGCTTCATTTTGTACTCCAAGGCCAAACTTGCCTGTTATTCCGGTTATCTTTTGGTTTCCTACCTTAGCATTCCAATCCCCCATGATGACAAGGATATCATTTTTTGGTGTTAATTATATAAGGTGCTGTAGGGCTTCATAGAACCGGTCAATTTCATCCTCTTCAGCACCAGTGGTTGGGGCATAGATTTGGATTATTGTAATATTGAATGTTTTACCTTGGATTCGAATTGAGATCATTCTGTCATTTTGGGGATTGTATCCCAGTATTACTTTTCCTATTCTTTTATTGACTATGAAGGCTACTCCATTTCTTCTGAGGGATTCTTGCCCACAGTAGTATACCTGATGGTCATCTGAGTTAAATTCACCCATTCCTGTCCATTTTAGTTCGCTGATTCCTAAGATGTCGATGTTCAGTCTTGTCATCTCTTTTTTGACTACGTCTAGCTTGCCTTGATTCATGGATCTTACATTCCAGGTTCCTATGGAGAAAAAATCTTTACAGCATCGGACTTTCCTTTCACCACCAGATATATCCACAGCTGAGCGTCCTTTCGGCTTTGGCCCAGTCGCTTCATTCTTTCTGGCGCTACTAGTACTAGCCCTCTGCTCTTCCCCAGTAGCATATTGGACACCTTCCAACCTGAGGGGCTCATCTTCCAGCGTCATATCTTTTTGCCTTTTAGTACTGTCCATGGGGTTTTCATGGCAAAATACTGGAGTGGTTTGCCATTTCCTTCTCCAGTGGATCACATTTTGTCAGAAGTCTCTGCTATAACCTGTCTGTCTTGGGTGGCCCTGCACGGCATAGCTTATAGCTTCATTGAGTTACGCAAGCCCCTTCGCCACGACAAGGCAGTAATCCATAAAGGGGTACCGTTCCAGCGGTACTATTCCTTTTCATCTGACATAGCAAGGAAGAGAGTGGGAGAAGCTGATATGGAAGATGGCGGATTTCTTTTTAGTAAGGGTTCAGAAGGTCCATATTGGGGAGGAGCAGAATGGGTGGCCACTGTGCTAGTAAAAGGTGGCGCCATGAGGTTATGTCTTTTCTCTCACAGGCGTGCACCTCTTTAGTATCAGCGAGGGCTGCAGAGAGCTGGCTGTGCGCAGGAGCGGGAGGTGAGCCCTAGGGAAAGGTTCTTGCTCAAGGCTGATTGAGGGCTCAGGAACAAGTGTTGCACCTCTCTCCTGGGGAGGCGGAGTCGTGGTTGCCGTGGGCTAGAGCAGAGACCAGGTGAAGCAATGAGGCGGCGGGTGGGGGAATATCTTTTTTTTTCCTGGTTGAACTGGAATATAACCCTGGAGGCGTGAGAGACCTGCCTTGCCTCCTCCAAGGAAGTCTGGACATCCTACCTGGAGTTGAAACGCGGATGCTGTATCTAGTGAAGAAGTCCGGGGCGGGGGCTGGAAGGGAAGACTTCAGCCTCGAAAGTGCCAGTTGTCCCTGTTAAAACGAGCTAGGTGCGACTTTTGGGTAGAAGATAAATGTATCAAATTTTGAAACTGTCCATCTCCCTCACAGAGGGACTCTGGGAGGTATACAAATAAAATATTAAAACGTAAAAAACTGTTTAAAAGTTTTAAAAAGAGATAAGGATGATTGAAAATCAATGTTAAACGTTGATTAAAAGGCAGGGGAGGGCTTTCAGGGGACTAACAAAATGTAAGTAATATATAGAAGCCATGCATTTTTGCTTCTCGGTTCCAAATCATTCTGAGATCAAGTAATAGCACCAGATTTCCCCTGTGTATACTTTGCCAGAGTGGACAATCCTTTGATAAAAAGAGATAGGTCACGTTGTTCGGTCAGGTGTTTCCTCCCACTGTGGAAGTGAGTGGGGGCCAGGCAGACAACTTCCTGACGTTCCCTTCCTCTGAATGCTGTGAACTCAGGGCTTCATTGTTTCTGCTGCTGCTGCTAATACTGGATTGAGGCTCATTTCCCTTGCTCTGGTAGACATGGCAGAGGGAAATCTTTAAGTCAGCAAACCTACTTACCGGTGAGTGCCATTTTTCAAGCTCTGGGGCTTTGACCAAAACATGCTGTAAACATTCCCTGTCTTAAGTCATTTAAATCTTTTCTAAAAATATTTTAAAGAAAAAACCAGGTTTTGGAATGAGAGTCCTTAAATTAGAGAAGACAACATTTAAGTGATTTCTGTAGAATGCAACCAAAGAACATGTGCATTGTTTTGTTTTTTCCAGGACCATCTGGAGTGTTCTAAAATTTATAGTAATTAAGATTATTATTTCTCTTCATGTGTTGTGTATGCTACCCATGAAGATCCAACTGATCAGATGTTAAACTCTCCAGAATTAATGTATAGTAAATGAAATGTTTTTGGGTGTTGTACAGTTTTTGTATAGAAAATGCTTGGATGTCTTTATTTCTTTGAAATATTTTCTGTGCAAAGTCTTTGCAAACTTAATGCTGTACATTCAACAAAGCCATGTCAAGAAGCAACAAGTGATGGATGGAAGCACAATTACATAAGAAAATATAGCCAAAATCCATTTAAAGGTTCCTTAATTTTAAATGTGAAATTTTGAATAGAGTTCATTTGCTACCCTGAATACATTCATTAGGGATAAACCAAGTTGAACAGGTTGAAACTTACTTTGCAAATAGAATTGTGTTAAATAAGCAACACATGTCTTCCACAAATAACTAATACTTGGGTTGAATCATGCTGCTTGAGATTTAAAAGATCTGCATTATTCCTATTAAAATGACACAGACACCTGCTTTTTAAATCTAAAATCTTGATCTTTTTGGACATAGTTGCAGTGAATGAGATATGTGATTTGTATTATGTAGGCTTGTTAACCTTCAGGCTTGTTAACATATGCTTTAACAAAAAGTTGTTAAACCATTTGTTCTGTAGTAGGACATAGTTTATGTAACTGGTCTTATGAATTGTGACCTCTTTATTCTGGTCAAAGGTGACTGTAGAGCATACCCAGCGACCTGGAAATCACAAAGGGACAGCTAATTTCACATATGACTTTGGCAGTTGAATAGAAAACAAGGACACATCTTTATTTTGGAATTGGAGTATTCTTTAATTTTTGTGCAAGAGTGCTGTCTTTTGAATAGTTTATGTTGAATTAATAGAGATGACATTTACAGTTACATGTCTAAATGCCTTAAATCAAATTACTTTTTAATCCAATTATATGCTTAATAAGCATTCATTCATCAGTGAAAGGATATAAGTTCTTCATAAGCTCGTTTAGGTAACATATATATAAAGGACATCATTTTCATTAGTGTTACTGCTATTCTAAAAAACAGAGAAGGAAAATATCACAGTTATATTTTCTTTCAATGCTTAATTGTAATAAACAATTGGACACAAACATAACTGGGCCTAGAAAAACTCATTAATGTAACTAGGTATGATTAATTTCATTCTATTCAACAACATTTAAATATTCCAAGTGTAAAATCAGTAAATAACTCCAAATCTATTGAAATCAGTGCTTTTTTTGTAAAAAAAAAAAAAAAAAAAGGTGCCGGAACTCACACATGTCATACAACCTGCCTTGCCTACCCTACAAGGTTCCATCCAAAAAAGATGCCGGAACTCCGTTCTGGGTGTTCTATGAGAAAAAAAGCCCTGATTGAAATAGCAGAGTTTTACTAGGAACCAAGAAATGAATTCCAATATTGCCATTTTGTCATTCAAATTAAAAAAGCACAATATTGAAAGGGTTCTCTCTTTGTATGTGTGAATATTCATGAAAAGTACAAATTTATAAAACCAGACTTTAAAATAATACAAAATTCTGTAACTACCTTTGTCGTGGCGAAGGGGCTTGCGTAACTCAATGAAGCTATAAGCTATGCCGTGCAGGGCCACCCAAGACGGACAGGTTATAGCAGAGAGTTCTGACAAAATGTGATCCACTGGAGAAGGAAATGGCAAACCACTCCAGTATCTTTGCCATGAAAACCCCATGGACAGTACTAAAAGGAAAAAAGATATGACGCTGGAAGATGAGCCCCTCAGGTCGGAAGGTGTCCAATATGTTACTGGGGAAGAGCAGAGGGCTAGTACTAGTAGCGCCAGAAAGAGTGAAGCGACTGGGCCAAAGCCGAAAGGACGCTCAGCTGTGGATATATCTGGTGGTGAAAGGAAAGTCCGATGCTGTAAAGATTTTTTCTCCATAGGAACCTGGAATGTAAGATCCATGAATCAAGGCAAGCTAGACGTAGTCAAAAAAGAGATGACAAGACTGAACATCGACATCTTAGGAATCAGCGAACTAAAATGGACAGGAATGGGTGAATTTAACTCAGATGACCATCAGGTATACTACTGTGGGCAAGAATCCCTCAGAAGAAATGGAGTAGCCTTCATAGTCAATAAAAGAATAGGAAAAGCAATACTGGGATACAATCCCCAAAATGACAGAATGATCTCAATTCGAATCCAAGGCAAACCATTCAATATCACAGTAGTCCAAATCTATGCCCCAACCACTGGTGCTGAAGAGGATGAAATTGACCGGTTCTATGAAGCCCTACAGCACCTTATAGAATTAACACCAAAAAATGATGTCCTTATCATCATGGGGGATTGGAATGCTAAGGTAGGAAGCCAAAAGATAACCGGAATAACAGGCAAGTTTGGCCTTGGAGTACAAAATGAAGCAGGGCACAGGCTAATAGAATTTTGTCAAGAGAATACGATGGTCATAACAAACACTCTTTTCCAACAACCCAAGAGACGGCTCTACACATGGACATCACCAGACGGTCAACATAGAAATCAGATTGACTATGTGCTCTGCAGCCAAAGATGGAGAAGCTCTATACAGTCAGTAAAAACAAGACCAGGAGCTGACTGTGGCTCAGATCATGAGCTTCTCGTTGCAAAATTTAGGCTTAAATTGAAAAAAGTAGGGAAAAGCACTAGGCCACTCAGGTATGAACTAAATCATATTCCTGATGAATATACAGTAGAGGTGACAAATAGATTTAAGGAACTGGATCTGATAGACAGAGTGCCTGAAGAACTATGGATGGAAGTTCGCAACATTGTACAAGAGGTAGCAACTAAAACCATCCCAAAGAAAAAGAAATGCAAGAAAGCAAAATGGCTGTCTGAGGAAGCTTTGCAAATAGCTGAGGAAAGAAGGGAAGCGAAAGGCAAAGGAGAAAGAGAAAGATACACCCAATTGAATGCAGAATTCCAGAGATAGCTAGAAGAGATAAGCCTTCTTAAATGAACAGTGCAAAGAAATAGAAGAAAACAACAGAATAGGGAGGACCAGAGATCTCTTCAAGAAAATTGGAGATATGAAGGGAACGTTTCATGCAAAGATGGGCATGATAAAGGACCAAAATGGCAGAGACCTAACAGAGGCAGAAGAGATTAAGAAGAGATGGCAAAACTACACAGAAGAACTATACAAGAATGAGCTTAACATCCCAGATAACCACAATGAGATGGTCACTGACCTCGAACCAGACATCCTAGAATGTGAAGTGAAATGGGCCTTAGAAAATCTGAGCAACAACAAAGCTAGTGGAGGTGACAGTATTCCAGCTGAGCTATTCAAAATCTTAAAAGACGATGCAGTAAAAGTGCTACACTCAATTTGCCAGCAAATTTGGAAAACTCAACAGTGGCCACAGGATTGGAAAAGGTCAGTTTACATTCCAATTCCAAAGAAAGGCAATGCCAAAGAATGTTCAAACTATCGCACCATTGCACTCATTTCACATGCTAGTAAAGTTATGCTTAAAATCCTACAAGCTAGACTCCAGCAGTATGTGGATCGAGAACTACCAGAAGTACAGGCAGGATTTCGAAGAGGCAGAGGAACTAGAGATCAAATTGCCAACATACGCTGGATCATGGAGAAAGCTAGGGAGTTCCAGAAAAACATCTACTTCTGCTTCATTGACTATGCAAAAGCCTTTGATTGTGTGGATCACAACAAATTGTGGCAAGTTCTTAAAGAGATGGGAGTACCAGACCATCTCATTTGTCTCTTGAGAAACCTATATGCGGGTCAAGAAGCAACAGTGAGAACCGAACACGGAACCACTGATTGGTTCAAAATTGGAAAAGGAGTCCGGCAAGGCTGTATACTGTCACCCTGCCTATTTAACTTATATGCAGAGCACATCATGAGAAAGGCAGGGCTAGATGAATCAAAAGTTGGAATTAAGATTGCCGGGAGAAATATCAACAACCTAAGATATGCAGATGATACCACTCTAATGGCAGAAAGTGAAGAGGAACTAAAGAGCCTCTTGATGCGGGTGAAGAAGGAGAGTGCAAAAGTTGGCTTGAAACTCAACATTAAGAAAACCAAAATCATGGCATCCGGCCCTCTCAATTCCTGGCAAATAGATGGGGAAGAAATGGAGGTAGTGACAGATTTTATTTTTCTGGGCTCAAGATCACCTCAGATGGGGACTGCAGCCAAGAAATTAAAAGACGCTTGCTCCTGGGGAGGAAAGCTATGGCAAATCTAGACAGCATTCTAAAAAGCAGAGACATCACCCTGCCAACAAAAGTGCGTATAGTCCAGGCCATGGTTTTCCCAGTTGCAATGTATGGCTGTGAAAGTTGGACCATAAGAAAGGCTGAGCGCCAAAGAATTGAGGCCTTTGAACTATGGTGCTGGAGAAGACTCCTGCGAGTCCCTTGGACTGCAAGGCGTTCAAACCGGTCAGTCCTAGAAGAGATCAACCCCGACTGCTCTTTAGAAGGCCAGATCCTGAAGTTGAAACTCAAGTACTTTGGCCACCTAATTCACTGGAGAAGAGCCTAATGTTGGGAAAGATTGAGGGCAATAGAAGAAGGGGACGACAGAGAATGAGATGGCTGGATGGAGTCACTGAAGCAGTAGGTGTGAATTTAAATGGACTCCAGAAGATGGTAGAGGACAGGAAGACCTGGAGGAACATTGTCCATGGGGTCGCGACTGGTCGGACACGACTTCGCAATTAACAACAACAACAACAATGCAGAAATAGTAT